CAAACATGGAAGTATAACGGCAGGCGTAACGTGTACTTACAACTTAAACATGGAAGTATAATGGCAGGCGAAACGTGTACATACAACTTAAACATGGAAGTATAAAGGCAGGCGTAACGTGTACTTACAACGTAAACATGGAAGTATAAAGTGACATCCCATCATGTACAATACTAAAGGTAAGAGTCAAAGTCGGATTATCTATGAACACCTGAACCTTGCCGACATTTCGTCGTGTACAATACAATACTAACAAATAAGAATCAGTCACTCGGGCTACAAGGTAACCAGGACACATGCCTTTAGCGTAGCTCCGCAGTGCTCCAGAATCTTCTCGATGTTACGCAGTGTTTGGGTGGTCTCTGGCCCTACACCACCCTCTACCAGCTTCAACTCCTCACCGACCGCTCCCAGTGTGCCGGATATGTAGATTGTGTCGCCGGCTATCTTAGCATGGCAGAAAGCTGTATGAATATATATACGGTTGGAATGAGACACGGACACGCCGACTTCGGCAATAATTGAATGTGCACCAGAAACGAGGCTAAGCCATTCAACAATGATTGATTGGGGCATGTAGCCTGACAGATATGTGACGCTCTTTTATAGAAGTTCAGATATAATGCGTCGAGATGATAACAGATATAGAGCTTACAAATACGTTAATATTGTATGTACGAAACAAGTCTGTTCGATTATGACGTCTGCAACATCGACCAAAAGCATATATATTAATACACACGGAAGACTGAGCAGACAACAACAATCGCTGCTACATATGTTCTTATTAGTTATTTAAAAAGGTCTCGATAAAACACTTTGGTAGTAAAGTACTAGTAGTGTACATACCGGGGAGCTTGCCAAGACCGGGAACATTAATAGACTTGGACATAATGATAAAGTTAGTATCGCTGTGAATACTACTAACTGTGTAGTATATGTACACGTGTGATACATATTTACCATTGTATGTTTGTATTTATGTCGTGTTGTTTTTCAGGTCTGTCTTCTCTCATTGTACATTATATCACGCGTGAATATTTTACATACTAAATTAGTAAATATTTATGTGTATTTAGGTGTATTTTTATTATGATTGTATGTACATATTTGTTTACTTTTATTTTTGTAAAACAGTGTAGGAGTCGGGAACTCCTAATCGGGAAAATTCAGGATTCGCGGGGGAATCCGAATTTTGGATTGTTTTTGGGTCTGGGACCATTCTCGAAATTTCAGTGCACAATGTCGAAAAATTGTGGCCAATGAATTTTGAAGAGTCATCAACACATGACCCTTGCGAAACGACTAAACGTAGAATTAATGAGAAATCGCGAATAGGTTAGAGCTTAAAGTTCGTAGACATTACGTAGACATTTAGGCTTAGTTGTAGACCTTTAGACCGCTACGGGTCTGTCGGAAATTGTATAAATAGGCTAGTATAGTAGCTTGCAATCCTCAAACTTTAACACAAATGATTATGAAAGGATAGAGGAGGATTGCTAAGACCACCTGAATCGTGGGCTTTGACTAGGGCCGAGCCAAAAATCAATAAAGGATACTATTGAGAGATTTCGTCTAAATCTTTGGGTAGGGTTTAGGGTTTCTAGTGTACCTTGTGGACCAGGATTTTTGGACTCAGGGCTTTCCGGGTTGGCCAAGGATTTGTGGAATCTTGGGATTGCCGGCCACGATCAAATCGGGATCAGGACAGGAAATTAGGGTCAGGGATCTTATAAACAGCAAGAAAAAAAACCCCCCATTCGTATTACGTTGCCGTCAAACGCTATTTAAATATTTTATGTAACATATGTACTCGTCAAACACTATGCATGACGTAATAAAAATAGAAGATAACGTCACCCCATTGGGCCAATCAAGTCTTAAACCCAATTTCTATTTTTAGGAGATTTAAAATTATTGCGCCGTAGCCCATAGCCCGCAGGAGGTGTATATAGATATAAATATGAGGCTTCCCCAATCCCCCACCAATATTCATGGTTAAGGGCGTGATATTTAAGGTATTTCAAAAAGTATAAGGTATCCTCATCCAAATAGAGAAATTGTAGTTTTCAAGTCGATATACTTGAGGTGTTATCGCAACTGCGTCCAACCATAGCAACTATCACACTCACGCCTTCACTAAATCGCTAGATCGACACTGAATACACACTACTTACATACACACACACACACACACACACAACAACGCGCGCGCGCGCATATA